CTGCAATACCAGGCCAACCCGTGGCCAGGACGGAGCAAGCTCCTATTCCATGGCCTAATTTCAAAAATCAGTTTAATATAGAAGCTACTCAATGAGCAGCGTTTCAGATATTAAGCTGAAAAGAACAGATACTACACATGATCTTAGCCAAAAGGCCGAGAAGCGATACCGTCATCAAGTAGCGAGTAGTATATACATGAAAAACCATACTGCTATTGTGTTGATGTCAAATAGAGAAAATTTCATAATATCTTTATTTTTAAAAGATACTCAAATAATCAGTTAAATAAAAGTTAATTTTAAAAATGTACAGTGTTTGTTTATTATCTTATTATATCAATAGTAAGCAAGGATTTATACTGTTCATTAATAATATTTATAAACAAGGAATTTATAATGTTCAAAAGTATTTAATGAATATTAATTAGTTTTATGCATGAATGCTTCTTCATTGTCCGCCTTCCTACTGCTAGCTTTTGTTGTACAATACTATAACCCAATTGTACTATTGTAAAACCTTGAATAGAAGCCCAATGGGCTTAAGCTCGAGGAGCCAATTCTGAATTTCCCCCTTTTTAGTTTGCAAAAGTAGCCTCAAAAAGAACTCATGGTTTCAAGAAAGCTTGAGCTTCTTTTTGGGATAGTACACTACATACACTCTAAGTGAATTTCAAACAAACAAAATTAATTAAAAACATGCTTGGTTTATACAGTAGTTTCAATGATTTAATGCCAGTTAATACACTCCATGATATAGTAGTATATACAGGTATAGTGGTAATTCCCAAAATTTACAGTATACATTTGAAAACAAGCTTCCCTATTTACTTTGCAAAAGTTGCCTTGAAAAGAAGCCCATCTCGAAAAGTACTCCATCCAAATGCCATCTTGGGGCCTGTTTACATTTGCCAAAATGTTGCCTCAAGTCAGCCATGGGCGAGCTTATCCAAAAGAGTAAATTTATGCAAAAAACTACCTAATTTTCAATCAACATTTGACAAAAATTACTTTTTTGTACTAAAATCATTAAAAAATATTTTAATAGATTATTCATTCTGTAAGATTGTTCAGAATTTCCAATTTAGGGGTCATATACAAATGTATGTAAAATGTATTTTTTGCAACTATCAGGGCTTTGTTGGTGTGCTGGATTCTCAGGCTGTACTATATGTTTGGGACCAATGCTTCATGCAGCAATGGGACCACCAGGTCCTACAAGATGTCTGCCTTCTTCTGCTTCTCTTGCTTAAGTATGACTTCATGTTGACTAACAACTACAATGAAGTTAAACAGGTAAAGAAGTGTTCGCTATACGTAGACTACACCCTTTGCTTAACAATGGGCTCAGAGCTTCAAAAGAACTTTCTTTGTTTTTGTAAGTAGCTTTGATCATTAGAGTAAGAATGCTTTGATCTTTTGTTTAAATCACTGCTATGTCACCTACTAGAGGTAATGTTTTGATTGGTTAAACACTTTTGGTACTAGTGCATATAAGCTTGCTAATATGGATATTTTTTCATTCCTGATGATGACGTAATTAATGTCGAAATATTGAATCCCAACACGATGGCGTGTATTTCAATACTTGGAGTATGTATTATACTTTCTTAAATAGTGCTAATTTTTGTTCATATGATTTGGTCAGGCATATCTATCAAGTAGGAAAACAAATCTCAATATTACTTAACATTCCTCTTTTAATTCTACATCATGTTTGAATATAGGTGTTTACATGCTTACCTGCTAAACTTTACACATTGGACATTGTAAGAGGTTACCAGCATCTAATCAGAGGGGATGACCCCAAGCATATACCAGACCTCAACCGGCACTGGCATAGGTATGATGCTGAATTATGCAATATTCATAATATAACAAATAAGTCGAGTGGCTGAGCGGTAAGGCAGGGGTGGCGCTAATTACTGTCTTAACATCAACACTAGTCAAGCCGCTCCTTTCCCAGTGTGCAGTTGGTAGAACCAAGTGTCTCGGATAAGGACTTAAAATGGAGGTCCAATGTAATGTCACATCTGGCTCGTGTGCACTTCTAAAGAACCTGTTGCGTCTTTCGGAAGAGTGGGGGTTACTCCGATGCGATGGTTCATTTCAGCCCCTGTTGTGAAATGGTGTTAATATGTAGCTACTGTAAGTGCCTCTTTACAGCTGCAAACCACGTCCATAGGCAATTCAGCACAATTACGCTGCGAGTTATGGGTTCCAACCCTTTACCTTTTAAGTGAATGATAGATGTGCTTGTCCCACAAACATGCAAGTTTATGTACATTTTACATTCATTAATGTCCAACACCATAGTAACATTAGGGAACTTTCCATTGCACGACACACAGTAGATCGTAATGACCTCACTAAAAAGTCATCTGCGCATGCGAGAACGTTAAGTTCTCCATGCCCTGTGGATTCCAGAATGCAATATTACCAAATCTGTGTTGTGCAGAGACCATAGGATGGTCACGTATGAGTGAAAATCTCAATCAAATTGAAAGCTCTCTAATATCCAAGGAGTGGACTTAGTGGAACGTCTCATTGGTCATGAATTCAAGTCTGACAGTGGCCATATTGCTTGTATCCTGAAGCAAGAGTCTATCCAAACAAGAGTATGATGTGAATGATGCATGTCGTCTTTAGTAAATTGGAATTAACTTAATACAAAGATTGTCCTTACGGGCATCACCCAGGGCTTACGACAAGTAAACTGCTACTCTAAAGCTTATTTCTCACTCGTCTGAACATACCTATAGATAATATTTTTATGATAGCATTTCATATTTATTTTCCAGTGTTACCAAGCCTGTGTTGCCAGAAAATGTTGAAGATGATAAAGAAGAAATCGAGGAAGAGGAGGAAGAATTACAGATGTCACCACAACCAGAGGAGGAGGAGGAAGAAGAAGAAAAGCTGACTGCTGTTGGACTGAAATACTTCAGACTAAAGCTAATCATGAGGCAATCTTTACCCAAAGGCAAACTGCCTCAAGTAAGTAACATTAATGTGGATTTTTCGGGAGTTTGAAAGCACTTCCAATACTCCAATCTATATAGACTTGTTTATAGAGCCTCAATATTAATATATTGATATTTTTTGTTTATTTTTTTTATATTTGATAACTTAATCTTGATATTAATTTCTTCATCAATATTTATATTAATATTTTAATCATTTAATATTCTCTATTCTCTGCTTTTTAGAAGCATTTTAAAGCATTGTTGGACTTCAAAGTGAGCAATCTGTCACTCACTGTGTCTTTCTTTGTGGGTGATGAGATGATATGCAGCAAGAGCTTAACAAAGACTCCTCGTTTGATCAAGGAAGAAATGTTGTTTGCTAGCTTAGAATCACAAAGAAAACGGGGCAAGATTGATACAAAAGTAAGTAATAATCATAATGATTTTAATAGGTAATGTAAACAGCAGTGTGTGTACAGTATGGAACAACCGTTAATGACAAGGAAGCTACATTTGTGGCAAACACTGACAGGAGTGTTGGCATTGGGAGCAAGGGAAGGGGTGATAGGCGTGAAATCCCCTCCTTGGGTATGCCACTGGTGACAAATTCAAGGAAAGGCACCCAACCACACTTCACCTGTGTATAATTGGCATAAAAATTAACCTGTGTGTTTTATTAGGTGTATCTGGTTCAGATGGCCAAAGAGCATTTAATATTTGATGTTGCTGAAGACTTACAAAACCAAGGAATTTCCACTTGTGATTTGGAACCATATGGCATCATCAACATCAGCTATCGTACATCAACAAAGGACAATGGTAGGTTCCAAATTGTTTTTCATCCTTTTGTGATTTGGCTTACATAATTATGTAGATGAAGATGGGATATTATGATGATTAAGTTTAATTTTTGTTATTTTGTTATAATGATTTATATTATTATTGTTGTTATTATCTTTTTTAAATATGTGTTTAAAAATCAACATCGATAAAAACCACCAGGTTTATTAAACTAGACTTACATAGATATATAAAACTATATAAACTATATATGAACTACATATGCAAGTATAAATATAGTATATATAATTTTAGTGTTATTTTAATGTAATGTATTTAATTAATACACTTTCCATTTGTTTTAGATGGTATTTCTATACCGCTTGGCTGGGCTAGAGTAAAACTCTACAACCTCACCACACAAGAAGCAGACGATTTGTCCAGTCAACCGACAACATCTCAGCGGGCTGCAGATACCATCTTACAGGAGGGAAGAACAACAGTGATGTTGAGTGTCTTGAGTGGGGAACAGACTGTTCCTCTTTATCCAGGCAACCCTAACTTTAAAGTGAACTCACCTGAAGATGGAGAAGAGGATAGTCGAAGTAGGCCTTTCTCTTAGCTAATGAATATGCTTCATAAGTATGTCGGGAAGACGAGTACATTCCGTTAGGGAATTTAAAAAAATTAAAAAAATATTTTTACATGTTTGTTCGTTTAGCAACCATATCGCTTTGGAAGTTAATTTTGACATTAGAAAACATACAAGAAGTCATATCACGGTAGCTTGATGCCTATCAAATAACTAATAAAAATTCACCAAAATTCCTCAAATATCCGTAGCTTCCAGGGGCCTTCACCCCCAGGACCCCAGCTGGTGGCCCCTAGGCGGCTGCCCCCCCCCCCATCCTAGTGAGGCTTGCTTCGCTCACTTGGCTGGCCCCGTCTGGGCCTTTAGGCCCCCCTGTCGGGCAAATCCTGGCACCATCACTGGTGTAATGATATATGTTTTCTTATTAAAATAAAAAATAATAAAATCTATAGGCTTAAGAAAAAATGATGAACAAACTTTTGCATCATAACAAGCATGTAGTGACTACATAGTATATACTAGTAGCAATATAGTCATTGGTGATTTTTAATCTGTAGATATGTTGAAGGAAGGCTCTGAAGTGATACTAGATGTATTTGAAGTTATGATAGATGATGATTTCTCACAAGCACCATCATCTGCATCACTGATCAGGTAAAAGTTTTAATCATTACATGTAGCATTTAGGAGATTAAGTAAGAGATTAATAGGAGTAGGATCTTGGAAGAAGGCCTAAGGGTGACCTTTAGACAACCCTCTATTATTTTTCTTACCTCAAATTCTCACATTTTTTTTATTAGTCAGTAAAATTAATTTTGCATTTCACTTGTCATTTTATGATGTGTTCTGTTATTAGAAAAAAGTTCGATTGTATGCTATATAGGAAACTTGTATCCTGTAAATGTGTTTGCTAAAATTGCAGTTCTAAGGTTTATCACTTAAAACATGCTTTATCACTTAAAATATACTATTACCTATTATAGATTTTTCATGTTCCTTTATTCATATATTTTGATGATTACTTTAGTGAAGGTGAGGATGACTTGGAGCCTCCCTGGGTGCCACAGATTGAGTCTGCCATTTTGTCTCCAGTAGATGTCAACTTGAAAGATACCTTAGACTTCTATATTGATGGCATCAGGTTCCTGCCAGATAATGCTTCAATATCAAAGGTGAGATGACTTACACTAATAAAAAAAATTTAAGAATTTACTTACAAAATCATCAGCTTGCTTCAGAATTTAGTAAAATTATTAGGACTACCTCTGTACATCTACCATGTACTATATTAGGGACAAAAACTCAATTTTATTGGAACTGTATCATAGAATTATAAGAAAACTAGAGTGCTAACTACAATGTACTCGATGTTCAAAATACGCAGAGCTGTGTGTACTCAACAAGATTTCTGCCGTAAATTCAGCCAATCATGATACGCCTAAGCATCGTTTCAATGGCGACCTCAACATACATGAAAGTTTTGAGTACAGCTATGTTGCTTTGTGGTGTAACGTACACGATTTAGATTTTCATTCCTCAGTACTTTATTTTTAAATCAGATACTTCGCTTGGCCTCTTTTTGGCTATGCTAGTTTAATAATTTATTATTATTAATAATAATGATTAATGAAATAATAGTCGGGCTTATTTATGGTTATAATATGTAGACTAAGCCTGAAGGTGGCGCTTTCCTACAGTGGCCATCTTGTATGGTACACATACACACATCTGAATTGCATGGTTTTTTTTTGTTATCATTTGAAAACTTGATGAAGACCCATAATTTATATTATTGTAAATATGCTACAAATTCATTTGTGGCAAACAGATAATGGCTAAAACATGCTGAAATGTCAACATTTTTTTAATCTATTTTATTTGCACTAAACGTGACCTTTATACTGTATATCTATACATCATGATATGCTGTTGCTTTCCCCATTTTCAATGTTAAAACAACAATTTTAAACAATTTGGTGATGGTGTCTACCTAAAAAATGCTCGAAATCGTAAACTTTGAAGGCTGATTTCTCAAACATGGTACAGTAAACAGCTGTATTTTTAAACGCTTGTAACTTCATAAGGAAATGTCGGATTTTAATCATGAAAACATATCCAGAGCTTTACTACATACCAAATAGTAATTGACTTCTCTATCAGTTACAATATATTTTTTCTTTTTTATCAGGAGGTGATGATAAGACACTTTCAGCATGGTTGACAGATCGCCTAAATATTGCAAAACACATACCAAGAGGTTCTGCACCCATCCTTCTTGATCTAACAAGGTGTGTTCGTTACAATCAGAAAAATGGCCTTACTGTTGCAATGAAAGCTGCATATAATATCAGTGGTGAGCTTTTATAACCAAAATGTATTTATGTTAGATCATTGTATCGAAAATGCATAATAATAATAGAGAAAACAACAATATTGTAATACATGTACATTTAAAATAATATTTTTACAGTCTTTTTGCTGTTGTTTTTGTGCCTTTGTGACTGTTGTAATGTTTTAATGGTTGTTGTTTGATATCCTACAGTAATTATTGTATTTTAGTGCATTTGATCATTGTTTTAATATTTTTAATGTCAGTTGTATATATTATTAATGCGAGTACCGAATTTCCTTTTTTGGAGAGAAAAAAGTTTATCTTATCTTAATCTTATAATAATATGCTTGTAGTACTGGTATGTACAAATAAATTATTTCAGAAGAGATATTCTGTAAATCCTTTTTTTTTTTTGGCCAAGGGGCAGGATTTGATGACTTTTTTCCTTGTACAACCTTTGGTGAACTTTCCCCCTTTTCTCTCTTTTGTTGCAAATGCACTCAGCAGAGTTTTATGCACTATGCCTCTGTTTCTTTTTATCTGCATTTCTTGCTCTTCTTTGTGTGTGTGTGTGTGTGTGTGTGTTGATCTGTATCTCATGATGCATTTATTGGGTTTTCTTTAAGCTGATGGTGCTTATACACAGTGCTATGGCCAGATCATCTCAGGGGACAGCACCACTGATGACGTAGCCAACAGGACCGTCAATGAGAAGTTTGTTGGAAAGGACGTCAATATGAACAGTCTAGAGTGCTCCCCAAATTGGCAGGATCGACCAAAGGTGATTGAAATATTCATTTATAGGCTACTCAAATAATATACTTTGATTCAGTTATAATAATAGGTCTTCAATAGAGGTTATGGTTGTTATATCAATTATTACCATAACTAAAGTAATAATCATTACTGATTAGCAAAATAATACTGATAATAATATATTATTGCTTATGCTAATATTGATGACATTGGTATTGACAATTTTTTCCACATACATATACAAAATATTTTAGAATAAAAATTTGAAATTAAAATGTGTGTATTTTTCAGGTGTTGCATCCTTCATTAAATGACAACACTGTCCTTCTAATCAAATTGATTACGATTTCTGGCATGTACACCCCAAGGAATGATGGGAAGGGATCACCTGCAGTTACCCTCCAAGATGTCCAAGTATCTTGCATTGGATGGACAGTCCTTCAGCTGTTTGACCGTGATTGTACATTTGCTGGGGACCACCATATTCCAATCTTCAAGGAGCCTTTAAGTGATGTAAGAGATCAGGTGATCAAATTGGGCCAACTAGATGCTTAAGTTCCAGTGCTTCTGTTGAGCTAATACATACATAGTAATGTTGCAACATTTTTGGTATACATAACTTAAATTTGCTTGTAAGGTTTCATAGCAGTAAAAAGACTGGAAATTAGTGGAAATTGATTCATTTCAGTCAGTTTCATTGGAGTTTTATTATTCGATCCATTAAAATTCAATGTTTTTCCCCTTCATGTATTTAGTGTATCATTAATTGCCTGTACTATGTAATATCCTTGGGCTAACCATAACATTTGTGTAGATGAAGATAAAAGTATGTTATGTTGTATATGCTGGTTATACTGTAGTGTAAATATATTTTTATTGTGTTTTGTATTTTTGACTAGTAGCCAATATAGGAACATATGATGTGTGTATATAAATGACGAATAAAATGAATCTGAGTCTGGACATTTATTATCCCTTACAGATTTTTATGAAAGAGATCAGAAGCAAGCCACTAGACACATGCCTTAAGTCCGCTCTCAAGAAGGGAACCATTCAGTTCAACGAGCAACATTCCTCCATGTTAGTTGAGGTCAGGGATGGTCATTTTGTTAAAGATGATACAGTGTCCATTATAAAGGTGAGGAATTTTTTTTTTTATTTAAAAAACCAATTAAGAAGTATTTTACTATTGTATCCTCCAATTATTTAAACCATTTCACATAATTTTAAATTTATTCTGTGGAAATCAAATGATTGTATTCTTCACATACTGTATTTTTTCATTACAGAAAAATAATGATTACTTGAGGCTAGGCTCATACAAACAATTTATTGAAGGTGTCAGTACAAGGGCAGGGGAGCCTGTTTCAAAGCTTCTGTTACGGTCATTACCTGGTGCAGATAAGAACAGCCAGGCCTACAAGAAGGAAGTCAAAATATATAAACAAGCTATGTTCAAGGCATTTAATGATTACATCGATACAATAAATTAATACTGTATACAAACACAAGGACCGAATACAGAGAGTTCCATGTAAACAGCCTTTGTACGTGGATTGGTCAATGCAGTAGCTGTAGAGTTGCTCTTCTCCGAGCAGCCTGTCAGACGTATGTCTGTGAAGTCGCATACATCTGTGAAATTACATACGTAGTGTATATAGTGTATATTTGATACTTAGTTTTTGTGTTTTTAAACAATTGTGCCAATGTGTATGTTGAATATGTAAAAATAAAAGTATACTCAGCAGGCTGAATATACTTTTTAAGAGTTTATGTATACATGGTAATTTTAATTAAATTAATGTCCACTAATGTTTGTTTTAGAATATGGGAACTCTGTAACTTGGAGAAAGAAAAATAAAAAATGAAGATGTGATTCCAATTCTCACTTTATAATAATAAACCACCCCCTCTATTCGAGATCTGTCGGAATGCACACCGTCAGATTGATCTCATCACCATGTTTCGCCGATGAACTTAACTTTGAATCCTGTTATATTTCTTGTCTGAGCTAGTTTATAGTCTGTATGTTTTATACAGTTGTATTAAAATGATGTATGAATAGGTTAATATTGGTGAGAGGCAACCTTGTCATTTAGCCTTGTTAGCTAGTCCATATTTATCTAACCTAGTGTTTAGGCTGTGAGCTTAGCCTAGATTACGCCTAGACTGTGTCAGCAGTTGCAGCATTTTGCTGGCTGTACAATAAGTTGTACCTGCATCGATCTCTATCAGCTCATTGTGCTGCTCTGCAATTTTTTTTATTGTGTTTTGGTGTTTTTTGGATCTTGTATTGTATTTTATATCTTATTGTACTGCATATGTTATTGTATGTTTATATATAAAGTATTTTAAATTAGTAGTTTAGTAGGTCTATCATAGGTCCTATCATCGTAAAACAAATGTTTAAAAAGAAATGCTTGTGTCTTCACTGTGTTATTTATTAATTTTAACACTGTATACATTGTATTTAAAACCCTGTTTCATTACACACAGGGTAATATTATATACTCTCAATTAAGCGATGCGGTGCTTATTCGAGAGCGGCACTTAATGAAAAAAAAAACGTATTTGGTGTGGCACTTATTTGAGGATGGCACTTCTTCGAGCATTAGCATGTGCTAAGAATCTGTTCATTATGGAACAGCGCCCTCAAATGTAACAGTACATCTTGTGTTTCATTGAATTACGAGTTAATGGTTAGCAACAATGCAAAGCAATGCATAAAGTGAGAGCAGCACAGAAGATACCTTAAATCACTTCAAAGTATCCATATGTTTATGCACTTACTCTCAAAATGATACAATGATAAGATAATACCATGGAGTTATTAAACAACCAGAGTGCTGACTAGGTGACAAAGCAATACTGAGTTTTGTATGTGTACCATACAAGATGGCCGTCGTAGGAAAGCGCCACCTTCAGGCTTATACATATTATAACCATAAATAAGCCCTCTGACTATTATTTCATTAATCATTATTACTAATAATATTAATACAATATTAAACTACTGTAGCTAAAAAGAGACCAAGTGGAGTATCCGATTTAAAAATAAAGTACTGAGGAATGAAAATCCAAATCGTGTACGCTACACTAAAACACTCAAGTTTCCACATAACTGTATTCAAAACTTACTATGATTGGCTGAATCCACGGCAGCAATCTTGTAAGGTAAACACACAGAGCTATGCGTATTTTGAACATCGAACACATTGGAGGTAGTGTTCTGGTACTCTTATTATAACTCCATAGAGAATATTGTAGTATTGTATATATAAAAGTTATAAGCATTCCTTGCAACATGCCAAACTTCCCCTTAGGGCTTCCCCCTTAGACAATAGGTTTTCAATTTCTACTTATGGTCTACAAGCACAATTTTTACCACCACCTCTACCAGTCTACCAGGAGTTTCACTCTAGGTTTGTAACCAAACACCCTAGGCAGCTCAGCCCATCAGTTTGGACAGGTACGACCAGGTGTTGGCTATCTTCTCAGCAGACTAAAGATAATTGACCATATATATGACAAATCATCATTAAGAACATCAGAGGTTAAAGGTCACCTGTATTTGTCTTGATGATTATACTTCTGTTTGCTTTTCTTTTTGTCTTTTTTATGTTTCTTCCTTCTTCGTTCATCGCTAGAGCTTGAACTATCATCTGAGTCGGAACTACTGTGGCTTCGTTTGTGAGAGGTTCTTGACTTCCTGTTTTTCTCATGTTTTGATTTCCTCTTTGGCTCATTGCTTGAGCTATCATCTGAGTCAGAACTACTGCGGGTATGTTTGTGAGAGGATTTCGATTTCTTATTTTTCTTGTGTTTAGATTTTTTCTTTGGTTCATCGTCTTCTGAGCTTGAATCTGTTTCACTGTAGTGCTTTGTTCGTTTATGTTTTTTCATCTTTTCCTGAAAAAACAAAAAATGACAATGACTGTGATAACTTGTAGGCCTACAAACCCACATGATTCGAAGTTACAAACCCAGTTAAACTCCCCGAAACTTCAGTAGCAGTGAAGAAATTCAAAAAGGAGAAATTGTATAGGCTTTATTTGTGACTGACAGACACTATCCAAACAAGATTGTGGACGACATCAATAAAGTATTCCAGGCAACGTTTCCAGATAGCACAAATAGCCACCAAAGTCAGTTGCATTGACAGGAAGAATGCATACATTGTCAATTATGGTTTGGCACCATATTTTCAGTAAGTATCAACTTTTAATTAATTTTAATACTATAAATTAATAATGATAATCATATTTTTCAGGTCTTTTCATATAGGTATAGAAATTGATTAATTGAAGAAATGTAAATCTGAAAATGCGTTTCCAGATAGCACAAATAGCCACCAAAGTCAGTTGCAGTGACGGGAAGAATGCATACATTGTCAATCATGGTTTGGCACCATATTTTCAGTATCAATTTTTAATTAATTTTAATACTATAAATTAATAATGATAATCATATTTTTCAGGTCTTTTCATATAGGTATAGAAATTGATTAATTGAAGAAATGTAAATCTGAAAATGCGTTTTATATTCTATATATAAATATTATTATTAGTATTTTTTCTGTTCTTCTGAATTTAGATTGTTACTTGTCAAGCGTGTTCACAATATGTACTGTTATTCAATGAAAGTTTGAGCGAAGAGGCCCAGTACAAGCAAATGGATGTCCATGTACGGTTTTGGAATGGTAGTCAAGTTTAAGCAAGATATTATGGAAGCAAGTTTATGGGGCATGCATGTGCTGATAACCTGTACCTGGCAAAGCTATTCCAAATAGGAATGGATGGGCCTAATGTCAACCGGAAATTTTTTAACCTTCTTTCTTCTGACATAGATACCAACTATAACACATCCTTTCTAAATATTAGGTCTTGTGGCCTGCATGTGATGCATATTGGGTTTCAAACCGAGGTACAAACAACTGATTTGAGAATATATGATATGCTGTCATATACTGTTATATAGACTGTTCAAATTTAGTCCTGCACACCAGGAAGATTTTGAAAGTGTTACTGGTACAAGTGTATTTGGTTTGAAGTTTTGAAAGCACCGATGTGTAGAAAATGTGTCAGTGGCGAAGCGCTTTTTGACCGTCCTTCTACACTTACAAATACATCAAGAGTGTGACAGAAAAGAAATGTACCGATCCTAAGAATAAGCCCTATGAAATACTAAACAATGCTGTGGCTGATAAATTTACTGTGCCCAGACTATATTTCTTTGTTATTGTGGCCAAGCAAATGGAATCATTTTTAACAAAGTACCAGAGTTGGTGAGGATGTTACTAATGCTTTCTAATGGTGAAGCTACTGTTGTAAGAGGGTTTAGTGTAAATAAGGAAGTGGCCACTGTAAACATGTCCGAAAGCATATACATTTCTAAGCGAATTGCATGCAACCACATAAATGCGGTTGGTGAAGTCTTGTCTGTAAAATTAACACCAGAATTAATCACCTCTGTTGGTGAGGCTAGATCACCTATTACTAGAAAATGAGAAGCGTAAGGAGGGTGAGGCGCTAAAACGCGAAAGAGGCAATCTAAGCTAGATGAGTTGGGTAATTTAAAGAAGAGAAAGAAAAGACGTTTTGTAAATATCGACGGCCTGGAAAAAGCAACCATGAGGTTTGCTGATCAGACTGAGAGTAAAGTTAGTCTGACATGTATCGCCAAAGCAAACAGCCTGCGTCAAAGTGTTACTGAGAAAAAGTAATTACTAGCAGAAATTGAGGTGCGAAAATTGCTTTAAAATTAGAAGAAATAAAAAATATGTAAAACCAATAATCAAAAATCTCTGCAACGTGCACCCAAAACGAAGGTTAGGCCTATATTTATTTTGTTTAGCAAATCACTGTCAACTTTGCCACAGCTATTATTCAAACAAACCTGGACATGAATAATTATTACCTTCTTTTTCTTCTTGTGGTGGTGTGGTGCTTTGATGACCTCGGGTGGTGGGAGTTCAAGATCGATATCCGGTATAAGGTCATACGTCTTGCTACCAGGAGCCTGGAAACAATCTGACGCAATATGCCCTGCAAAATAAAATTTTAAATAAATGTTGATTCACTATTGATGAAGTGACAGGTATGGTCTCCAAATATAGAAAAAAGTTAATCATAAATCAACACGTTGGCTACCACAATTTTTCCCCTAGTTGTTGTCCATGTTCCAAAACATAAAAGGGAAGGGGAAGGGGCACCAGGAACATCATTCCAATCAAATGTAACGAAAACACAAAGATATTGTATTTATTTTAAAATCGTTCTTTAAAAAAGTTCTTTTTGAACCACCAGGATGAGAGTTATGCAATATAATGTTCTATGTTTGGACACAAACTTGCATCTTGGCACTCTCAGCCATACACAAAATCTGTCAAACATGAACTTGCATCCCTGGGAGCCAAAGTGTTAAATATTAGTAGGCTTGCATAAAGTGCATACCTTGGCCACCACATTGCCTGCAGTTAGTGTTGTAGATTGCACCAAGTTCAATCTTAGGCTTAACATATCCACCTCCAAACTTCCTTCTTTGTTCATCCTGACTGCAATCCAAATAAAAAAAAAACAACTATTCCCATGTTTTACATTATACTTCAAATATGCACTAATAATCATAACAATACAATAGCAATAATTACAATAAGAATAACAATAACAGCAACAGTAAACAATTAACTAAAAATATAAAAATAATAACAAAAATACTGGTAATAATAATAATTAACATAAGTAATAATAAATATTGTAGTGTCCCATCATATAGATATATCTCAAGGCGTATTATGATAGACATTGAGATATGTACATTTAATGGGACACTACAATGCTCCATCATACAGACATATCTCAAGGTGTGATAGACATTAGTAACCATGGAATTCTGACGGCATAGTTGCACAGTATTTGAGTTTAATACCAGAACTAAGTTCAAATGCTTACAAAAATCTATATAAAATGGGAGAGTATTTTTACAAGAGAGTGAAAAAAAAAATTGTACATACATTGTTAACAAATGATTTGGGTCTTGATCTTTGCCAGAACCTTGATTTACACATTTCATAGAAAGAGCTATTTTGTCATTATCCTCCTGAAAAAAAATACTATAATCATTATCTTTACCATCACCATAACTCATCAATGTACCATAAATACCACATTCATGCATTATTATCAACCGGTCTAACCTATTTTACGATGTGTCTAGAGGTACGGTACCGTACACTATCTCAGTAATGATAAAGAAGGTTAGGGTTGGCAACACAGCTACAGTAGGAAGACTCACCATTATCGTGATAGCTTTTGGTGCCAGCCACTGCTATTTTTTTAAATCATCTTGAGATATGTTTTTACTTCTTTTCATATCATATGCTGTATGCTGCCAGCTCTAAAGCATTGCTTAGCTTGTTTTTTTTCATGCAATCTTCCTTCTGCTACTAAATTTTCCGACCACCTAATATTGTTTTTCAGTGGCTCATCCTGAGATTGTGAAAGGGTCATGACAGCAGCAAAAGATCTCTAACCAAGCATAAAATTTTTTAGATAAGGGATGAAAATTGATTATGGAGCTTCCACGGGAGAAGTTCACAAGACCCAGGATAGTGTAGGGAGGGGACACTACTTCTCAAACCATCTCCCTCGAACCATAGGTCTTTCTTTAGCACCCTGAGCCTCTTTCCTCACAGAAACATTCTGGATCTGCCTCTGAATTTCAACCACATTTCTTACCCCAAGTGAGATGACCTTGCAAAACACTTTTTCACCGACATTCAAGACATCCTTTGCATCTTCTACTTTACTTGAGGATATTTGACTTCGATGAACAAGACCTGACGATAACAGAAAAAATAAACTGAAGCTTAGATTTGGTTATTTTATTGAGCGATACAGAATCTCGCAATTCTGTTCTGTATTCTAAAATAAACAAGATAGTACCTCCATGCTCCAACTTACCATTTTTATGATGATTTGGAATTTTCACAAATGCACCATATTCTTGAACCGATACGACCTGAAAACAGGATTTCAATTTTCATTTCATTTAGGGATTAAAATTTAAAAAAATTTCTTAAATACAACAAAAAAAAAAAAAACAAAGAACAGATAAAATTAGGAACAACAGATAATAAAATAATTTCTACAATGTATGGTATTACCCAAGAAAGTTACAGTTTGTTTCCATTGGTGCCCAAATTTTAAACAATGTTTACCACATAAAGTTGTAAAATGAACATAAAACAATTAACAAAAATAATGCCTAAATTAATTAAAATTTAAAATATTAAAGACATGTGAACATTTTGGACCACAATGGAAATAAGTTTGCCTTTTCATTCGGTACTTTTTTGTGTTTTTATCTTGAATATTATTTTCAGAAGTATTCAGAATAAACCTGGTTGCTATGTCTACGGCACAGGTGGGCGTAGTGCTTAAATCAGAAATTCACTCTGGCCCTGCAGCCGATTTTTTTATGTCCACCCATGGTAGCTAGGAGCACATCCGTGTGAGGGTGCTTGTCAAGATCCCGAATAGGGCAGTGTTACCACATCGGAACAAAACTTGGGGTCACAGGGGCCTTTTCCTGGACACTTATTGGGTAAAAAAACAAACATTCGGAAGATGTTCTCCGATAATTTTCGATTCTGAATATGGAATTGCATCCTTCAAAAAACTTAGCGGTGATATGTTTAGAACATTTCCAATTTTAATAAAATGCAAAAAAAAAGAAAAAGAAAATAAGTCATTCTTATATAAAAATTATGAAAATATCAAAGATTAATATATATACAAACTTTATGTAATGTTATCTTTTATGTACTGTAAGACTCTGTGCCCCGAGTGTTTAAATACCCTAGGCTAGGTAGAGTCTGAGCCACTCTAGCCCGCGATATGAGTGATGTGTCATCGCGTAGCCTACCAGAACGTGTGCAAATAGAGGAGACATCGCATCTAGGCTTAGCTAGGCTGTACGCCCGGTGCATGCATATGGTCACAAATTCAAGTTTGGCCAAAGTGTCGGAAATCGGAAAAAAAATTTATTTTATTAAATTTAGCATAACTCTGTATTTAAATATTCAACCAATTATTACTCGCATAAATTTGTTCTTTCCATTGAATTAATGTAAAACTATTTGAAGTCAATTGAAGGATATAATGTGTGCTACCACTGCTACTCTACTAATGATGGGCCTACCGACCGGGCTCTGGTCTAGCCTATATGTCTACTACCGTCGGTCTCCCTGTATATAAGGGAGACTTGTTTGGGTTGTTAAAAAACAAAACACAAACTAACTTCTACATAGGCCTTTGGCTTTGCCTGGTCTAGGCCTAGGTGTAGCTAGCAGGCCCGAAGAGCTAGTGCTAGTGTAGGCTAGGCTTTCTATCTAGGCCTAGGCTATGTATGGCAGGCCTGGGCTGGGTGGGGGTTCCTAATCCTAGGCTAGGCCTAGCCCTAGTTTAGACTAGCAGTCCAAGCCAAGCTACACGGCCAGAACCATATTTAATTTATTATTAGATAGGCCTAGCTCTAGGTGATAACTTACCTCTCCCTCAAAAATACTATACAATTTCAGTATCGACTTGGTGCTTTTACTTTCATGTTCACGTCGGTTTCCAGACATAAAGTAACGAATAATTTTTATACAAACTTTATACAAACAAAAATATTGGAACTCAACTCTATTTTCAAAACACTGAAGAACGCCCTCATTATGCATTCCCATCTGGATCGTATTGGATATTCTTTTAAATGATTACAAGCCAACAGCATAATTATAAATTCTACCATGAACCTATGTTATCAGGTTTTTCCCATTGATAGTTATTGAGTAAATATAAAATAATTCTATGTATTATAATATTTTGAACATATTTTAGTATGTTGGAAAAACTGATTAGAAAACCATTGTTATTTAATTGTAGTAACAGAGGGAGTACGCGCACTTGTGGAACTGACTTGCTCACTTTTAAGCCACTGTGAAATAAGTCAAAACAAAATGGCGAGACGAGTGGGACGTTAACCTGAATAGATCTTCGGCTTTAGCATGGATTTTTAGAATAAACGACTTGCTGAAATTGCTATGAAATTCTAGAAATGGACATAACTGAAAATACATCAACTTAAGTGTGATATTATGGAGATGCGAGCTGAGAGAAGAAAAGAACGGGTAAGTTTGAAAAGTTTGCTTTGTGATTTCTGACAACTCATCTGAACGCGACAACAGTACACAACCGGGTCGTTAGGTGAGCCTAATCTTTATCTACCTCCTGTTCGGTCTCTTATCTTTAAAGCTAATTTTCAATTATTTTACATCCCAATAAAACAATAAAAACGTGTCGTCTTATTCATCTCTAGACAGACATGTTTTGAATACTAACCCAGGCCTAGATTGTGCAACGTTTACGAATGGTAATTTACTGTTTCATTCGTATCGTAGTATTATTGATGCTGGTAACTGCTCTACTGGAAAATTTTAATTAAATAAAGTCTGATATCAACAAGCGCGTTCACTTGTTCCCTTTGTCAGTCAAACCAAGTTATTGTAAACGATATATTTCCTTTAAATACCAGGTAATATAATGTATAGGCTTGTCAAAGCCTATCATGCAATTTTACTAGTAATTATCTCAAACAACACTACTCTTCATTGCAAATCATTTTCTGATCTTGTGCATAATCTTTGCATCTTTTCTTAGTTTTATTAGGCATATGTACAATATTCTATATATTCTGACATATGTTTAAAAGATTTTGTTTAAAGTTGCAGTACTGTACCATCTTTGAACTTGAACAAAAATATTATTTCAATAAAATGAATTCCTTTTAAAATTTATCAACTTTTATTGACAATTGGAATAAAAAAGTGTTGTCGTCTTGGACTTCCAAATAGTACCATATTATCAATTTGTTTGGTCCACTTAACTGCAAACGCGCTGCCGTGAAAATCACCCTATCTCTTAACCACTAGCGCTTCTTCAAAAACATTGACTGTTTTTACTACAAAAACACTAACTCAAAAACCAGAAGTCGGTTGAATTAAGTTGAAATGGTTTATAGAAGGTTATAAATAACTACCTGCTGTATCAAATACTTGTTAAAATTCATTAAATGAGTATGCTTGATTTAGTCAGCTTATCTTTATTTCTACAATTTATGCATAGATTGGGAATGTATTTTTAATATTGTTCACTAAATGATTGATCGTTTAAAAAAGTGCGTTTTATATACCTTTTTCAGATAATGAAAGCGTCCAAACATTGCGCTGTGCAGCACGCTCAATCTGTTCATTTTGCCTTTTTTACATGCGTGCTTAAAATTGTTTTGTTACGTGGTCAAAACAGCCCAAACAAATTGATATGCATTCATATTGTAACATACTTACATTGGATGATATAGGGGTGGCTCCAGTCTGAGCAAATAATTCAGTCCACTTTTATGGTACTGCTCATGATGGCAAAGTAAATACATGTGCTTGAGTTGTACATCATTTGTCCTTCCCTCCTCTTCCCCATTCTCTTATCATTAAGTAAAGATGATATAGGTACTGAAACTTAAGGTATCATTTTTTTAAACAGATGTGTTGTTTTTACAACTCAACACAAACTCACCATCATAACACTACTCGAATTATTGAAATGGTGTCGAAGGCTGGTGGGTCATTTTCAACCCTTTAGAGTAGCCCCACTCATCTTCTGGTATCTTTTCTTAAACTGTGAGGTACTTTCTGAGCATTCTGTCCATTACCAACCTTTGTGAAAAACAGTGCTTCCTACAGAAATACAGTTTGCATAAGGATTCTTTGGATTTCCTAATGAAAGATGTCAGGAATATTATATTCTACAACTTACAACTTAAATAGATGCCTCAGGCCCGTATCCAGGAGGGATTTTTATGGTTCGGGAGAACCCCCCTTTTCTAGCAAACCCCCCTCTTTTATGGCGAACCCCCCTCTTCAAATTTCCTAAGTAAGTCCTCCAACCCAACTAATGCACTGCAGACCCACCCAGACACAGACGTTTTCAAACATATCTGCTTTTGTAGCATCATTTAGACCCATAAAGCACAAAAATCCCCTTGCTTTGGGGGTTTTGCCGACCCCACCAGGGCTTCGACCATGGACCTCACGCCCAGAAAACCTCCTTTTGGAAGAACCTGGCTACAGCCCTGTGCCTATTAGGCTAAACTGTATGGAGTAAATCAAATTGGTATATTATTGATGCACTTTTATTGAGCCTTATAGTTATCTCTATTGGTTTTTAGGAGTCTTGGTAGTTTATTCATTATCAGACTGAAAATTATAGGGCTTACTAGTACTATACAAAATAGCATACTTAATTATACTACTGTCAATTGTGAGGTCTTGATTAATGATGACGGAGTATTTATCATTCAAGTCAAGTCTTCTTTTCATACGACATATGCAGAACAATAGTTAAATGTTTGTCCCGCTAACTATTAGCCTCCTATCTAGTCTCATCGTCATGGTATTTTACCCTGCTAAACAGCTTAGCCAACAAAAAGGAGCAATAAAGGAAGGAATTAGTTGTTGGCATCCTGAATAGAGGTATAGAAACTTCTTGAGAATTACCTGTCTATGTTTTTGAATTAATCAGTGATATATGGTCCTAGTGCTTTAAGTAATCAGATTAGATGCTAAGCTGTTAAGCTTACTGTTGTACAATAATTAAACCATGGTATTAAGTTGGGCACCAACATTAATTCTATTGCCTCCAAGAAAAACATCCACTCCCCAAAAAATAGTGTAACCTACAGTAGTTTGATAAAGTATAGGCTTAATTATTTGTTTTACTTTCCTCGACATTAGTACCTTACTGTATGTCCCTTTCCCTTCCATACATATTAATTAGGATTTCTGGGAACTTCTGCATGATGATGCTTAAATAATGTGAAACGTAGAATAAAATGATCTGGTAATTTTTGGAGATATTCATTCATACTTTTTGTACTTGAGAGTGCAATTCCTAGTCCTATATAAGTGCCCATAGTAATAAAAGTTGTGTGCCTCAGTGTCAACTAGGGTGATGCTAAAGTGGTCTGGAACCACCATCCATTGAAGTCTCTCATTGTTTGAGTCCTCTATTTTGAATTCCTGGGTCCGCCACTGAAAATGTACAGTATGCGGTTAGGATATTGGTTCAATTTTACATGCTTTTTAAATCTATCTGTTGCTATACAGTTTGTGCAGTACTGTATACCCTGTACATTGTGTTGTTTTGAGCTAGAATTCCCAGCACTTCATTGGTACACCTTGATGTACAGTAGTTAGATTTTAGATCAATGAATATTCAAAACTTCAGTGCAAATCACAACAGATACTTAAACTTGATTTACAACCAATTGAGGTAATTCAATTATAACATAGATAGATCTATACACAGTGGTTTCTTTCTTATGATAAAATTAGATTAGAGTAGTAGAAACACAAGTGACAGAATTGATTATAGATTGGAGACAGGAAAAGCAGTTACTCTTGGCATTGATATATTTAAAAAAAATAAATTGGCTGAAATAAAGTCTAATCTTGACAATACATCAAAATTAAGACTGGTCTCTGACTTGCAACATATTTATCAATGTCATTGCCATTCATTAAATTTTATAGTAAATAATAATAGTTTAATAATAAATTGCATTCCACAACCAAAAAATAAATTCCCACATAATTCTGAAAAACTGAATTGAGTCACTGAGAGGTTTGGGGTCGTTCACAATTACCATAATTTTATAGGTGTATAGACAGTACGCTGGGTATAGACAATACGCTAGGGAGAGAGGGTAGACACATTTGTACACTTATGTACCATATTTTTTGCACTTTCTGAGGGGCACTTATTCAACCGGGGCGCTTATTTAAAAGGGGCGCATATGAAAACAGAGTGGAAATTGTGGGGGTGTTTATGGAAATAGGTGAAAATCGAGGGGTTCTTATTGGAACTTATTAAATTCAATTGAATGAAAAAAAATCATATAAGGACATTACGATTGGTGGTGCGGCAGAAAAGTTAATCATCCAGAGAACATGGCTCATGACAAGAATGCTGTGAATATTTACAAAACAGCAGAATAGCAGATGAAATTGTTGGTGGTAGGTACTATTGGTTAGCTTGTTGAGAGACAAAATATAATAGAACAATTGAAAAATAAAGTACAAAGTGTAAACAGCAAAATATATAATACTTTAGAGCTAATTAAGATTAAATAAAAACCCTTTACGTTTTTCCAGAATCATAAAGCAAATTTAGCAACATGAAAACAAAGTTTACCGTGAGAGAACATATACGTAATTTTTTGCATTTCAAGTAAGTTGGAAAATAATGGATCGATATTATTAATCTTATTAAACAAATCAGAACGTAATGCATCATTAAATTCACAAACCATAAAACAATGAAATTCGTCTTCAATTAAATTAGAGTTGCACAGTGGGCAAATTCTTTGGTCAAGGGGGATGTTTTTGTATCTACCAGTTTCAACAGAAATCTAGGCACACCCAAAACAAAAGAGTGTATAAGCCCTTCTGAAACTTGTATGTAAGAAGAGGAAATTTGGAAATATACTATCTGGTCTGTCCAAGAGAAATATCCTCATTTTGCTATTGTTCTAAGAAGAATGGTATTCCACTCTGCAGCTCAAATCATGCCAACAACCACAGTCCCAGGATTGATTGGATTGTTGACTTGCTAAAAAG